CTAAAATTGTCAACAGACATAAATACTGGTATATTATTCTACTTTCATAGTATATCACAGAAAAATCCTGCACATTAGTAGAAGCACTCTTAATCTAACTTTTGATTTTAGGACCCCAGTTTTGGTTACTGTGATTTGGGTGGAGCCTATGTATGTGAAACTCAGACCAGACTGCTGAAACTTGCCCAGGAGCTAGGAGTAGAAACATATCAAGTTTACAGTCAGGGACAATCTGTGGAACATTATTTGGTAAATAAGATGTATTTTTGATGTTCTAAGCCTGCATGTGGCTCGAACGTTACTATCTCATGAGCAATACTTGGCAACCATTTTTCCATCAAAATTTTTGAAGGGAAAACAGGGGGGTGGACCATGTAACTATTACTTAATTACTTATAGTTATTTATAATGATGCTATTGAAAAATTTCAGGGTAAAAGAATTACTAAGCAAGGAGCCCTTCCTTCTATGGGGTCCATATTAGGTGCCTTAGATGTTAACAACTTCTGGCAGCTCCTGGACAAAATGGCCAAACAAGTTCCTCTGGAGGATCCTTGGAATGCCCCTTGTGCTTTAGAATGGGATACGATGACTGTCAAACAGCTGATTGATCAGAAGTGTTGGACAAGGTAGAACAACAAAATATAGCTTGGTCTACACCTTTGTACAAAAACTTATATATTTATCTCCTCCTGGATATACAGTAGTAAAAAGAAAAAAGAAAATCTTTTAGATTAATAAACTAATTTTTAACAGATATATTGCTGCAGAGAAACACCAACTCACAGATACACATCCTGTGATACTTCCCGTAGCCTTAAACTCCCAAGATCTGAATATTAATTCTCCCCACTAGCTGTCAAACATTTCCTTGTAAATTTGTCTTAAGAAGTTGGTGTTAGATATCACGATTACAATTTTTACCCAATAAGTCTGAGTATTCTCACTTGTTCGCTGGATGATGTATGGATATTATAGGGAGAACTTAAATGCTGATCAAGTCTGGAACTTAAAGGGTTAAGGTTATCCTTTATTACCTGTATAAGCTTTACAAATACATTTAGTTTTAGTTTTACCAGGAACATTTTGGAAACAAGCACACTGAATTAGAATTTAGAATTAATCATTATCTGCTATACAATTTATATGATGTTAGTTTGGAGAATTTGGAATTGGATCAACCAAAAACCCCTTGATTGATATATTTCTTTATTCTCATCACTTGTCTTCTTGATATCATACTGATAATGTGAGGAGAAATTCTGTCTCAGTCACTAGTGGGACTTAACTTAACGTAGGGTTAAGTTGAGAATCAATATGTTGAAAACATAATTATGTTGAGTGTAGGGGATCCAGAGCCAGCTCAAATTGTGCAGTTGATTGTAGAGTTTTGATCAAGAGATGCAATATTTAGCAGGGGGAATAGTGAAAAGTGACAGGAAAATATTCTCCAGGTCTGAATGAAAAACTACTAGAGGATGTTAAAAATTTAGGTAGATAATTGGGTGTAGCAGGAGAACAATTCTCTTATCACTGATGCTGTACAAACACCTTGTTGTAAAATTATTGTCCGGGGCTATACAAATCCTTCTACTCAATTTATTAATTACTGCCCACAGGTATGGAAAGGCTGCAGCTGCTGCATATGTGCAAGGAATTCTCACTTCAGAGCCACATGATATCTCTCTGTTGTTTTTCTTGTGGTATCTGCATTCTGGAGGAGGTACATGTACTCTTTAGACTTAGTTATGGTTTGGATTATTTGTCATTATACAGTCATGTAAGCATAGATTTTGAGCAGGCTCTCTGCTGAGAATACCTTAGATACTTCCAAAATTTTGCAACTTTGAAGCAGTGACAGCTAACTTATCCTTGCCAGTTTTCTTTCTCTCTGTGTTATTGCTAGAAGCATTATTGCACTTAAGAAAGATCATTGCTGTAAGGTTTTTAAAAATCTTTTTCTTTTATATATTTCTGCAGTTAATCCAAACTTACATTGTGCTCTTTGTGGTTTACTCTTGTAAAGTGCATTTTCTGTTTTAAGCAGTGACTCAAGAAAAATTCACACTCAGGCTATGAAATAATGGAAAAATGGAAAATTGATAACTTTGGCGACTAGAGTGGAGACATTTACTTTTCTCTGCAGGGACAAAACGAAACATTGAATTTGAAGCAGGAGGGGGGCAGGTTAGTTCATTTTTCCCATCACTGATTCAAACAGGCATTGAATGAGGTTTAGTAAGAATTAAGCTGATCAGCTGTTGTACAAGATATTGTCAGTCAGACGTAAGTCAGTAGTAGACTTTTTGCAACATTCTGCAGTGACAGAAGTCAAAATGAATATGTAGCAGAGGTAGGAGTCAATGTAGGTTTGAACTTTACCATTTATTACACTGTGAGATATCATTATTTCATGAAGATGTTTTTTTGATTTTGCTGTTAAGTAGACTAAAGTATTTTTTTTTGTTTTGAGGAACTAGGAAATGAAATTCTGTGGAGGCTCTCAGACTGTTAGTATGAAAATGGCTGAACATCTTGGTGGTAATAAGTAACCTTTGTTTAGTTCATGAAGCTAGCAAATATTTGTTCCCAAACAAGGATGAAGTTAAGATGGCCAGAACTGAACAAATTTTCTTCTTCTTTAGTGTTTTTTACACCTTGACCCCGTTCCAGTCCATAAAAATGCAGAAAGAAAGGAAAGAAAATCAGACATCATTTGTTACTTTACAATCTTCATTGACTAAAGATGGCATGAAGCAGCTTTATTTTTAAACTGAGAAATTCCAAGAGGGTAGGGTAGGGGGTGGATCCTGCCCCTGTGGATAGCCAATCAGAACACTAAGAGCACAGACAAGAGTTGTAAAGAGTGGACTAAAGTGTTTTTTATGAAAATCTTAACAGACCTGTTGAGTAGTTGTATCACTTTACAGAAACTTAACTTCTGTTAACCCTTTATCTCCCAGAGGTGATTTACATAAAACTTCTCCCTACAATATCCATACATTCTTCAGCAAATTGTTAATGAGAATATTCAAACTTATCAGGTAGAAGCTGCTATCTTGATCTAGCACCAAGTTCTCATAACTAATTTACAAGGAAATATATAGCAGCTAGAGGGGAGAATTAACAATCAGATCTTGGGAGTTAAAGGGTTAATACTGGCTGAACATTTCCATATGAAGGTTTGATTTTCTTTCATCAGATAGAGTGAAATTAAACAGCTGTGTTGTGTGTATTGAAGAGTGTGATGATCATATTAAAGTGAAATGTGCAGATGGAACAGAATATAGGGTAAGTGTACTATTGTGTCTCTTGTGTACT